TAATAAATCATTAGCTCATCCATGAACATGATTTCTGCCCGAGTCCCGTCGGATTGCATCGGCTGTGGGGATGAAGACGACAACTCCCATGATTCCACACTCAGTCACAGCGTCATCAAACTACGCCTTTGTCTCTTTGTTTATTTTGAATACACGCCCTCTAGCGGAAACTAGAACTCTAACGAAAATTACATATTGTGCCTTTAACAATGTTTACATAACAAAAAAAAAATTTTTTTTTAAATAATAACATTACTGGACAAAAAGAAACTACAAAAAAATACATAAAACAAAATGTACTACTGCTATTAATAATTATCAAATATAAAAAAAGTTTTTCAAAATGCTTTGTAGCAACTTATAATGTAATAACTGCACATAATGTAAAAACTGATGATGGAGGGAGGAGCCAGGGTGACAACAGAAAGGGAACCAGAGCAGGAGGAGGAACCAGGCGGGACCCAGGCCACCACCATGATGGCGGCCCACGGCGGAGCCGACGGAGGGAGGAGCCATGGTAGAGGAAGGGCTGACCGACGGCAGCGGAGCAGGTGGTGGAGGAGCCCGAGGCGGAGACGGAGAGCCAATGAACCAGGGCGACACATAGAATCCCAGGAAAGGGAGGGTGGGTGGGAATTTGTGAGCACCAGTCTCTTTAGGGATGTTGTGTGCTGCCCACACACACCATATCGCGACTCCCAATACTGGGATTGCGGCAGACAGGGGAACGACATCCATGGTCGTTTCAGGATTGTCGGATTGTTCAGGGCAAATAGATAATTCTGGGCAGGCAGATACTTCAGATACTTTATAAATGCATCATTCATTAATTCATTCAGGGCATACAAATGATTCAGGGCAGGCAGAGAGTTCATATGAAGGCAGGAGAAGAGGGGGCATGTCTGCATATATGCCCCCATCACAGTCCATAGAGCGCTGCTCACCCTCAGCCATAGTGTAGTGGACGGAGCTTTCCTCCACGCTCTCGCTGTTCATAGTGCTCTCCACCGTGGCGAGCTCTGTTGCAGGCTCTCGCACCTGGTCTGACATTGCGCGCTCTGGCTCTGCGGCGATCCATAGCTCTGTCGCAGTCAATGGTGATGGCTCGTCGGTCGTGGTGGGCTCTGGCTCTCCATCAGCGGTGGGCTCAGGCTTTGGCTCTGCACAGCGGGGAGATGGTGGGCTCAGCTCTGGGTCCGGAGTGGGGCTGGTGTCATCCTCCGCGAAGTCCACGGTCAGCGGGGATTGGCAGGACGCCAGCACCCACTCTATGAAGGCGGAGTCCAGTTAGATAAAACAAGCAGAGGCAGCTGTCCGGATAGTGTGTCATGTTGGCAAGTAACACAAAGGCTTCAGTGTGGTCCTCGAGAGAGCGATCCCCCTGCTCCAGCAGGAGGACGAGGACGGCAGGATCATTCATAATTAACAAAACAAAAACGGACAAAAACGAAATAACAAAACGGGGGGGGGGAACACGCCGCTTAACTTTGTAAGGTCCGGTCTTCTGTCACGGTG